TGTGTATAACATTAATTATTTTATTCACTAACTAAAAACAATATTTCACTAAAATATGTGATTAAAAAGCAACTTAAATTGTAAAACGAAGTATCAAGTTCTGGTTACAAACACTAGTGTGAAGAGGCGGCGGAGCGCTATTTTTGCTAAAATCGGCTAGTCAGGCGACATGTGACAGCGTAGACAGCGCTTCCTGTGACGTCATAACGACGTTCCATCAAGGTGAAAGTGAATCTTCAATGGCCGCCGCCAGATAAAAGCGATTTGTTTACACAATTTTAAGACCAAGAGTATAGAACTCCTAGAAATTATTCTATCTAGACATAAAAGGTACGTTGCTGCTTCGACGACAGCCCACGGACGACTTCATTGAAACACTCCATCCAGGTCGGACAGCACACTCTGGTGCGACACCCCCCCCCCCACATCTCGGACATGAATTTCGAACATATTGAAATATGATGGTTATAATACGTTATTTTATTAAGATTGACATTACAATGAATCTAGTTCAATAAAGATAAACGTTGGCGAGAGCGTTTTGCTATCAAACGATCCGCTTTTTATGTGTTTTTTTCTCAGTGTTACGTAACTTTAGTTAACTCACGGCATACCATACATGACTGATGTAAAATCTTATTTCTATTAGATTGTACACAAGAAGAAGGAATACATGATTAAAAAACAACATGATGACGTCAAACAAATGCTGGAAAAACAGGTGATTTTGTTGTTTGATTTGTTTTTTTAGTAGCCTCCACAAGTTTGCAACCCCGGACCTGAGCATCGATCGCATAGTTTCGTATCCGATCGGAGGTTCCTTTCCCACTAATATGTGGTTTTCTTGAAACACTTACCTTGTCAGTGGAACATGATGAGCATCATCGCATTACCTTATCAGTTAACTAGCGCCCCTAACGACAAACATAGTGTTTTTTTTTTTTTGAAAAATAATGTGATCCTTAGACAAACAAAGGTCTTGACGTCGTAATGGCGTCACATTGCGTAAATTTCGGCAAACGCGAAAGTATTTTTTGGGGGAATATTTCCACGCTTAACCTTTTCACCACCAGACTTCTCGCCCAAATTTTCTTTTTGCATTGAGAAAAGTGCAGACTCTAAAAGGGATTATTTTGTGAATTTAGGATGAAGTAAGGGTGTCTCAAGGTGAAAATCGACATTTTGACATTGAACTATAAATTAAGAAATAAAGAAAATTCAAGTTTGAAATTAGATCATTCGATTTTTGTGGAAAAAATTTAAAATACATCGATTTTCTCGTTCTTTTTTCCCTTCAAAATGTGGTGTGATATACGAGGACGGGTTCTAAGCGGACGCCTACGAGCTTGGACCAATCTACCATTTTCTGTATTTCATTGATAAACATGAAAATGCCTTCCATTTTACGATTTGTTTAAATTCGATATGCTAGTTTGTTTTACAAACTGACGATTCGTCTCTCAAATATTTCCTGATTAATTTCGAAGGCATTTGTTACCTACAGAGCCTATGATAGGCAAAAATTAAGCAATTGCTTGGCAATGTTCGGCCACGATATTCTGAATGGAATATCTTTGAAAGTATGTTACACTTGGCCTCGGAACGCATATTACTTCATTAATCAAGCCCTTGTTCTAGTGCCTAGTGGCACATAGGTCAGAATGGAGACGTTCGGTGGAGGCCCTATCAGCTGCTGCAACTCTGGCTTCCGCCCATGACTTCCATCCAGCCTTGTTTCTTTCCTTCTCTACAGTGCGTCGCCAAATTGTTTTGGGTCTACCTCGTTTCCTTCTCCCTTCTGGTGCCCATGTCAATGCTGTGTTACAGATGCTTGTGGGTTCCTCCCTTAAGGTGTGCCCAATAAATTTCCATCTCCTCTTCATTACTGTAGTGCTCAATTTCTCCATCCCAGTCCTGGTTAGCAGTTCTTCATTCCTAACATGGTCTTGCCATTTTATCTTCATTATCCTCCTTAAACACTTTGTTTGAAAAGTATTGAGTTTTCGTTCGTCGCCTTTTTCAGTTTCATCTTCCAGGTTTCAGATCCATATAACAGCACTGACAACACCAATGATTTGTACAACTTGAGTTTTGTTGCTCTCTTGATTTTGTTACTGTTCCATATTTTATTAAGCTGCCTGAATGCATTTCTCCCCTTTGAAATTCTGTTTTCCATATCTCCCATTCCTCCTCCTGATTTTGTTAAGGTTGCACCCAGGTACACAAATTCGTTGACATCTTCAACAACTTCGCCATCGATGTAAAATTAGTCAAGCCCAGGGCTACATAAATATTATCAAACAAAATGCATATATAGAGTGTGATACTTATCGACTCGAAGCGCCACAGTCGTCCTGCAACGCGTGTACGAATTTCGCCTGAACAAAGCAACTTGTTTAACTCGCGCTGCGTACTTCGCGAGGGACCCATATTGAAAACAACTTGAACGATGCAACCGTGCCAATATAATGTCTCGCCTGTATATACATTTGTGTACTGAAAAATAATATTGTTTTTGTTTTTACATCTGAAAAATCACACTATTAATGTTAACTATGTTTTTACAGCAAGGAAGTCGGTTCTCCAACTTCCACGAAATGATGGAAGAATTTCAGAGAACACTGCGCCATGACGATTACGTTATCATGGTTGACCTGGCAACCAATCTCACGTGGTTGGAAACGTTTATTACGTCACTTGACCACCAAGACAACACAATATATAGGTGAGAATTACGCAAATGATTTTGTTATCGGGGCCCTTTTTTAACCACAAGTGTTGCATTTCACGCGACAACTTACGTGGACTCATTTCAAGGTGTGCTGCCCTCAACGTCGATTGCAGAGAAATCGCACACCCAGTGACGATTGGAAGCGGGGTTAATACATGTAACTCCATGGAATAAGTAAAACACGCCTTTTATCTTTACATTAGAACCGAGTGCTGCATACTTTATTCTTAGAACAATTGTAAATATTGTTATTTTTCTGATGAGTAGACTTCAATTATATCGTGCCCGATTCTCACCCTCTGTATGTAACGTATATTTGTGCCGCCCTCAACGTTAATTGTTATGAAGAAATAGAACATTAAACCCAAACCTCACACTGTGTATGAAACCATGTCGAATTTGAGAGAAAGAGTAAGTAACCAACAAATAAATCAAGTTACGAGACAGGTTTTGCAAGACCGGCTTTGCCAAACAGATCTAACGTCTTTTAGAATGAATCCCGTGGAACTACGGCATGATGTTGGCTTCGCACATGACTGACTGTTGAACGGTCAATATCCCCAAATTAAGTCATTAAAACAGTTTTTTTTTCTACAAATAAAATGACAACTTAGATTATTATTAACTGAACATCGTCGTGTTTTTAAACAGTTTTTTTTCTTACAGGCTCCAACAGTTGAATTTTGAAGTTTCCAAACTACTGGCAATGGATTTCGAATTGAAACTCCGTGAAAGATACGGAACGAGTTAACAAACACAAATTTTACCTTATACTTAGTTATTAAAAATTATTCCCCTCATGTTGCGAATATGATGGCTTACGTGTATGTAGTATCTTTATGCACCCCTCACCGACACATCGGGTAGTATGTGACTGCATGTGCGTTCCCGTGTAGGGAACTTAAATCTGTCTATTTTGAGACTTTTTCTCGGGAAGAACTTCCCGTAAGATGCTACGAACGTAAATAGTTTGAAGGGTTTCGCGAGAAATGGAAAAGATAGTTGTGCTCCCAAAAATGAATATGGGGATATATCCTTTACTACGTCTCCATAAGCTTATCATCTTACGGGCTTCAAATGCCGTTTCTATTCGCTTTCTTCAAATAATCCGTTCAATCATGGGCGGTGTTTTCGTCTCAATGGTGGTTACTTGCCACACAGTATGAACGTACTTAGACGAGACAAATATACCTAGTTGACCTGAACTTGAAAAGACGTTATTACAATGACTACTAACTGGTTTTGATCACACCAAAGGGAACACAAACAAAAAAACAGGTTTCCGGTTGGCTTTTTAAAGGTGGTTCTATTATTGTCGTCAGCTGCGAAAGCCTCAGGCAGAAGACGTTTCTACCTTTTAGCCGTATTATTTTCTTTTTTCAATATTGACTTTACAGTTTATTTTTATCATTGAATTCGGTATTTACACGTGCGCTTCTCATTTAACGGCGGAAGAGTATGATAAGTTGGCCGACCCGAATAAGCACCCTGAAGATCCAGCGCGACCACCCCGCTTAGCGGTTGTGTAGGTCGGTTTTTAAATAGGATCGTAAATTTGTCTCTTTTGAGTTTCGGAGACGACCCGTTTTAGATGCGTGGGTGTCCGAGATGACAATCGTATATGATCCCTCTTCGGCAGATGGAACTTTTTACAGCAAGCCCTAAATGTCTTTTCACACCCCAGGAAACACGGAACAAACACGCAACGTCCTTTCGCCGAGTGTCGATGTACTAATCACGCCTATTACACTATCAGCTGCTTATCAGCCGGGGGCAATCTTGCATTTAGCGTTCGTATTGTTCTCTTCTTCCGATGGTCAAACTTGACTTGTCTGAAATTGAGAAAAAGCGTCATCGGAGCAATGAAAACATCATCATCATTCAATTCAGGTGAATAGAACCTATTGGACGACGATAATCATGAACTCCGGTGTGATCATTTTATATACTAAACGAAAAGACATATTGAAACAAACAACTGTTAACGTACAGTGTTTTTTTTTGTATATTAAATATCCGAATTCCCCGCTTTAGTGCCTCTTTTACAGCAGTGCATGGTTGTTTTAGTGGTTGTACTCTATTTGGAAATTATGATTACGTCACAAAATAATTTTATCGTCAAACATTACCGCATCTGTAAACGTTGGGAGGGTGTCTGTCACATTGCTGTCTAAAATGTCCAAACAAATCAAATCGATGACACCAGTAATTTACTCAGTGCGTTAACCCGACGGTAATGGTGAAGTCATTGATCTTTTGAAGCAATTTCACAGTGTTGTACATAAGATGATATAACCTCCACAGAAATCTGTCAAATTAAGCACAGTGTAAATCTGGATTACCCGTCGAGAGTATATCTGCGTGTCGTATGCACGGCATTCCCTTGTGGCACTGTGTATTTGCCTGTTGCCTTCGTGCAGCACGCCCGCACAATGTATTAATGCTATGATTGAAAAAGTAAATAAAAATAATTATCACTCAAACTGGTTTGTGTGTTTTGCTTTCTACGTTCTAAACACTATGTTTATGTACTGAGGGGGATGTTATGTATTATGAAATTGAATGCACACATGCGCAAATCCAGTAGTTTACATTTAACTAAACATTAATTCTGTTATGATTTTCAGTCCAATTGCTAACTTTATTATATTTTTGTCTTACTCACGGTAAGCATCGGATAAGTCTAAACTTTTCAACTCGTTGGCTGCGAAGTCAATACCTGACATAGAGACTGAAACGGATATCGCTAACTGTATTTTTGGTGACTCGCATTCATCACAGTAAGTAGTGATTCAATTGTATGAAATGTGTGATCTTTATGCCTCCCGAAAAAAACAACAAAAAAACACCCCTGATTAATCAACTCGCATAAAAGAGATTAAACAAATAATCCGCTGCATATGTAGTGTAGTTAGTTTAAGCTTCAGAATGAAACAGGTGAAACTGTCGGGAACAGTTTGTACGATTTATCGAATGTCCTTTGACAACTAAACAATTCGAACATTTCTTTATCTCGGGCTAATAAAACTCTCATTAATATTGGTCTAGGAAAATAAAACGCACTCCATCAAGTTTAAGTTTGCCGCAGATGCAGTGAGTGTAACAACAATGGTAACGTGGTGTCATTATTAATCATCCCAATCGGAACAAAAAGTAGCATCCCACGTAAAAGTCGTTATCAACATACATCAACGGGGACAGCGTAAGCGTATTCTGAAGCGATTTTCATCGTCTAAATCAGAGCACGTCAATGTACAGTACCTCTTGCTGTTACGTTTATCCAGGACGCTACACGACTCCTTAGTTCGCCACAAAACGATTTCCGCACGGTTTCCTGGGCTCTATACAGGATTTCGTTTTAAATCATTCAATTGTAGTTATAAATTAAGTTATGCTCTAAACAGACACACAGGTGGCGACGTGTCGCTCAATGCTATCCCGGAGATGTTTATGTCAATTTCACGTCAACGCTTGGCTTCCCCTGCCATTCTTTACCTTCCCGTGCCATGAATCACGCCATGATACAAGCGAGTATTGAAATCGTTAAAAAAAAGTGCAAGCGACGGCGCGTTGCGTAAGCACTGTACGTTTACGGACACACGCGTGCACAGATAATGTATTCGTGTACAATGGACAATGGTTGACGTTCGTTTAGTAAGATTGTTAACACAATCACTGTTTTATTGAAAATCGTAAAATATTAATGTGAGGTTTTATCGTCCTACAAACGTTAATGACAATGTAACCACTGGTCTGGTGTTTGGGATAATAATCTGGAACATCGCGTGATATCAGGAACGCCGAACAAGTTTTATATATTTCAGGCGGAAATGTTTGTTTTTTTGAAATGTCATATACTATAATGAAAAAGCTGACCTTTTGAAACAAAACTGTATTTAATAGAATCGAACGTTTGTTAAAAATATAAAATTACCCATAAGGCGCAATCGAGGAATCGGCCGTCCTTGGACCAACTCGAATTTAAAAAGATATATAGTACTTAAAACGGTATATAGTCAAACCACTATTAGCCACATGGGTCTCTTGCTAGTCCCGAGTAACTTGAACAAATTTGTGTTTGTTTGGCATGTTTCGCTTGAGTTGGAATATACTGTCTTTAAATGTAAGGTTATGTACCGAGACTAAGACGGATTGTATGTTGTCAGTTCTTTGTTTCGATAATAAATGACAGACCATACGAACACGCGTTTCCAAATGACCACCCCGTTCTTCATCAATGGTCACCATCAATTTAATTGTACAGTGTTCGTTTGGACGCCTCGACAAGGCCATCCCTCCCAGGGGAGCAATTTTTCGGGGGAAACAGTCAAGGTCGATGCAAGCACTCTGACCTACTTAATCCGCGGGTTGATGCAAGACGGCACGGTCGATGATTCCAACACGAATATTCAGTTTGCTGATATACAGGCTGCACTATGCATTATCGCAAACTGAACCGGTGGTTATGTCACGCACGAGTTTTTGTTTGATAAAGAAAAGAATGACGTCAACGCACGTGGTTTGAATTTATGGTACGTACGTCAAAGTTCGTTTCGAGAGGGGGGGGGGCACTTGCTTTTTAACTGGGTACGGTTGTACCACCAAATTCCCAGAAGAGTAAGTATATTTACACATTTGTAGCTACACAATCTACACCAATAATCATACCATACCAAAATAAATTATTGTAACCCATATGTACAAAACACCATGCACATGGAGAAAGTGGGCGAGAATATTATTAAGCAATTCATGGTTGATCGAACAAGAATATTAAAATATATTCAAATAGTAAATTTAAATTGCCCATTCGAAGTAAGTAATAATTACACAATTTATGCCATAATACCAGTTGGCGACCAGTTGTTAGTTGGCGACCTGGTTAATAAATCGCGAATAAAAAGTATTCCGACCCATATGAACATAGTTATGTTTCGGATCATCCATCTCGTGTCTCTGTGTCATACCCCCATTTTATATAGCATATTTGGCGTTACTCAGCAACCCTCATTCAACTTGCAGGCACTGTATATATGTAACCCGGGTCCCTTGATTTGTTTCCAGAACTGAACCCGAATTGATACAATCTGTAAACTACAAGTACAACTCCTGCAATGTTTGGGCTATGGACAATGACACCGAATCATATATAAGAATCCGCTTGGATCGCCGCCGTACATTGTTTTTATGAAAACCCCTGTAGGCTTTCGCTCTTTTTTTCAAGTGACACCATGAGTACTTCACCACGTGACGTTCTACATTTTAAAGATATATGCGACTGTCGACAAAGCTCCAATATGGCTTTTAATATATAGAAATTCGTGCGCATAATATTTATGAATATTTATAATATACAGTCAGCAGGCGTGATACTGTATATTACTAATATTAATTTACCGATATTTACCGTATGAGGCGGCAATCTTGAATTTTCCCAGAGCTAAAAAAACATAGACCCTATAGGTCTATGCAAAAACTGAAGTTAGGAAAACGCAAAATTCAGTAGAATCGTTTCAAAATTTCATAACCAAACAAACTATTTGGGCAAATTTGAGACATCCGCCAACGGAATTCGATCACATTCGGCTTGGAAGAATTCTCTGCACACATACACGTTATAGTATTGTACATTTTAACAACATGAATCAAAATGGCGTCGCTTGCTAGCAACCCCGAGGTACTCTTTTAGGACAAATTGTGCAAATCCGTGATCTGTCTATAGCGACATTTCCGAAGAAACACCCCATTTGA